ATATTTTTTTTCTTCTAATTTCTCATTATTTTTATTATATTATTATAATAGTTATTTGAATCATAATCATCCTCTCTTTCAAAATAAATGCATAGAATAGGCTAGTTAGTCGGCTTAAACTCAAAAAATAAAAAACAAACTCAAATTCAATTACTTAATCAAACTCAAATTCAAGCCAGAGATGACTTGAGATCGATTTGACTCATTTACACCCCTAATTAGACGGCAGATCGAATAATCTGACTCAAGTTGAGGCCAATACATTAGCAGTAGGAACCCAAATTATTAAATTATTACAATGCTTTTATTATAAGGTTAAAAAATTTTACTTTTTAAGTTGTTATGAGAAACATTTTATAAAATCTAATTATATCACATAAAGTGGAGCTTACCTAATCGTGCATTCGATTAAGTTTTCATTTGGTAAAGCTTTGAATTACTATTTTTTCTCTGCTTTTAAAAATTTTTTATACTAAATAATAACTTTACAAAGCAATAAAAAAGCCTCCCAAAAGAAACCTAACACAAGTTATTAGCAGATACAGAAATAGAGAAGCGCCTTTTCAACTTCCTCCTTGCATCAATAAATCATGAAATATAATACACAGAACCCTAAACCATTCTGAACAGTTCAAGCATACTAAACACACAACATAGCATCAATTTCTCCTCACAAATGTTTACTGCATATATCAATAAAAAAGTTCAGTTAGTGTCAAAATTTTACTAGTTTTGCTTCAAACCTTGGTTGATGAGCTAACTCTTTCTAAAGCAGAGATGCTTAGACTTGGCTAACAGTGCATTTATCAACCCATTATCATTTCTATGTAGAGAGCTGAATAAAAAGTAGATTCTAGTATCTTCTGAACTCCTTGGGTGGCCTGAAATTAAGAGGATAGGCTTCTGGTGTGGCCATCTCATCTTCCTTCCACATCTTGATGGTCTTGTCAGCTTCACAGGTAACTAGTCTTGTACCACTCACATCATATGAAAGAGCATATATGCATGCTTCACTATCAAGTGATCCTGATAGAGATAAAACAATCAGTCAAGATTGTCACTGCTTGATCCTTATCCAAAATTTAGGCTTCGTTTGGGACGGCTTTCTTACTGCTTTTTAATATGGCTTTTTAAAATTTTGGTATTAGAAAGCTGCTTTAAGAAGCAGAAAGAAAGCTGTCCCAAATGAAGCCTTAGTTCACTCACCAGGTTGAACAATTGCCTGGGCTTGCTGGAAGCAGTGGCCACTTTTCCAGTCCCAGAACCAAAGGCTTCCATTGTCACCTTTCAAAAGAAGAAAAGTTACATAGTGAATGCAAATGATTTCACTATTTCAGGTTAGATAACAGATTTTTTTTTTTATAGAGCTATTATTATACCTGCAGTGGCAAGGATGCCATCTTCATTTACTGCCACTGA